TAAATAAAAAAATAATTATAAAAAAATTAAATATCATGTGAAGTTTTGAAGTCAAAATATTAAAGTTAAATGTTATAAATATCATAATAATAATAATAATAATAATAATAATAATAATAATAATAAGTGATCAGAATTTGCACGCGCGGCTCGTGACTCGCTAGGCTTGAATTCAAAGAGCAAAGGGAATGCTCGTGCTCAACAAACATCTGTCTAAGAGCATTTTCAAATCAAAAAATAAAACTAAAAATGATACCTTCATCGAAAATTTTCAGATCAAGAAAATTTCAAGTCGGGAAAAGAATTTTCAAGTTCAATAAAATTCTATTACCATCATACTTTCATATTTTGAGTATTTTGTCCAATAAGAATATTTAACGATTAAAAATTATCATTTTAAAATAAATATAATTAAAAATATTATCTTACTAAAATTGGCTGCACTTAATGATACTTGATATATATATTTTTAATTTATTCATTGAATTATATTAATTGTATTTATTAATAATTATATATTAATTTTAAACATATAATTTAATAATAGTTTTTTTATTTTAAATAACATATTATACACTAACATAACATAATAAGTCAAAAAATAATTATATTAATTTGGACTTATTAAGTGTCGTTTATCAAATTTAATACCTAATGCCAATTCACCATGCTTCTTCCACATGCACACACAATGCTAATTTATACCTTTCAATAGAAAAATGATTTTGGCAAGGTTTCAGAAACAGATGCACTTAGGGCATTGCAAGTATTAGTTAATTGGTGGTTGACTACTAAGAATCGCACTTTGTAGAGTTATTACATTTACATATAATGTTTCATGTGTGGTACTATACGTAGTGTGGCACTATCAACTCTCCCAAAGTTAATTTTCACGGTGGGGTAACGTGAAAAGGGAAAAGAAAAGTGGGTGGAAATAATGGCTGTTAGGGCTGTTGCATTTATAAAGATGTAGAAAATTGAAATCGTTTTACTATTTTTTTAATCAATAAAAATATTACATTTCTATTTATATTTTTATTGAATAATATTTTATTAATTAAAAATATTAAATATTTTAAAGTACTAATTACAATTTTAAATATTTTTAATAAAAATACTACCAAATAAATTTTATTAAGTTTATAATATAATTTTACTGTTATTTTTTAATAAAAGCATTTTAGTTATTATTTTTTAATTAATGTTTGTATAACACCACTCGTTGATTAGACTCTATGTTTGCTAGGATAACATTTTCTTAAATGAAATAGAAAAATTGTTTCAAATGCGACATTATTAAAGATGTATGTGATGGGAGAGGGAAACCCATCGAATTAAAGTGTTAAATGTCTCTGGTTTTGAGCATTCCCGTTGCACGAATAATTTAAATTAATTCAAGTCAGATAGTGGGAGTTATAATCAGCACCTCGCTAGTGGAAACCACACAATAATTTAGTATTTCTTTTGTTTATATTGGGAGACAAGCAATCATAGATAAGGCCATATCCAAGGCTGGTCCCTTAAAATTTCTCACTATCTATTAACAATACACAGCTTTTAGGACTAAAATTATGTTTTTTTATTCAATATAGAGATTAAATTAAATGTTTTATAGAAAATAAAATAAAATAATTATAACATCTTTAAGAAATTATTACTTGTATTAAATCATTAATTTTATTTTACAATTTTTAATATTTAAATTTAAATAATCATTTAAATAAATTTCTGAATATTAGTTCTGAAAATTTAATTTAAATATTTATAAGTGATAAATTTTTATTAGCAATAGTTCAAATTTAAAAATATTAAAATCGTGATAATGTTTTTTAAAATAAAAAAATATTTATCTCTGAGTGTTTAAAATTAATCATTATTAAAAAATGTTTAAAATTCAAAGTACGTAATATATATGATAAATCATTTAAATGTGGAATAATTAATTTTAAAAATTAATATTAAAATTATATAATTCTATATTATTTATTAAAATTTATAATAATCACGGTAATTTGAATTATTTATATAGGATTAAATGATATATAAACACACTTTTGACGGGAATTAAAGCGAAACATAATCAAAGTAAACCGAAAAAAGGAATGGGAAAAGATAAGAAAACAATATCCAATATCTGACTAGAATTCAACTGCAACCGGCGGCATTTAGGTCAAAGCCTTGTTCATGTACACGTTACATTAGGCCATTGGATAAATTTATGTTATTAACAAACTGAAAAGCAGCGATCCCTTTCTTATGTATGTTAAAAATGGAAATATTTCCTTCATACCTTGTTCATTGTTAAATGACTAGAATGAGAAGCGAGATAAGACTATATATAAAAGATATAAATGATCAAAATAAAAATATAAAATGCAACAATAGCTAATATAAAAAATTAATTAAGTGATATAAATATTCAGTGTGAATAGATTCTACTTATTGTGTATATATATATAAGGATAATTTATAAAAGGGTTTATTTTTAAAGACGGGACAGACTCGTTAAAACTTTTGAATAACTAGCTAGGTTTTGAATGATTACTTGACTACAGCTTAGAATGCGAGTAATACTACGTCAGAAATTGTGTAATAATCGAGCCTCAATGAGTTCAGCGATTACACACACTACCTGTATAACGAAGATGAACGTACTAGCTAACTACAAATTCTTTTCCCGGAATTGCCTTTCGTGCAATTTGACTTTAACTGCTCTATTTATTTTATATTCAAAGTTCAAACTCTAAACAAAGATTCTCCGATCAAACTTTTAGGCCATGAACTCTTGAAATAATCAACTTATACATGTTACTACAATATGCTATGCATCAAAGATGTATATATATACGAGATCATTTGGAAAAAAATGCACGTATTATTTGGAAGAAAAATCACCTAATTTTAACTGAATAGAATAATTAAGATGACCATGTCGTTGAGAGGAACGAACCTGTTTTGACTTCAAAAGAAATTCAAGATTTCACACACACACAAATATGTATAAACACGTATTCGAGATCAACAACCATCTTCATGTTCTAATTATATTAATTATTAGACAGTAAAATATATCAACTATGATGTTTAAACTATTAATTTGTATGTTTAACAACCATAAAGGATACGAAAATTGGAAACACGCATGAACACATTCCGATGGGGAAAATTCGGTAGGGTGATCTCAACAACTATCTATATCATAGTATCAAATTTTAATCTTAGTTTTATCCGAAAGGAACAAAAGATCCGTACGCTAAGTTGACAACGAACAAAATTCACAACAGTAGAAGTAGTTGGCGTGATACGAAAAGTCAAACCCAACCGCATATTTCCAACTTAATACTTTTGACATCGTATTTCCCAAAGGATAAATCAGTCAATTCAGGCTAAAACCGAGTGACACCGTTTTGCATTCGTCGCAGTCGTTTGTGGAACATGACCATTGGCTTCATGTCGAAACGGATTCAATTTAATTACATCATGTTACTAAACCATCGCCACATTGAGTTCATTTTTAAATTAAATTATAACATTATATAATATGATATTTTAATTTTAAAAATTTAAAATCACCACATTACTTTCTTACTTTATAAAATTTTATTTTTATTAATATTTTTTAAGTATAAAATGATAAGTAAAAATAAATAAATAAAAATATATACTTTTTATAAATTAAGGATTAGTAGAGAATTTTTAAAATTTTTAAAACTGAATATCTGTATCATATAATTTCACAGTTTAATTGAGAAGTTGATTCCATAATAGTTCTATGAATAAGATTTAGCTTTCTTTCTTAAATTAATAAGATTTTACCTTGATGTATCGCGCACAATAAAATTATTTAACTATACATTGGCGAATTATTATCGTCTTTATCATCGTAAATATCATACATTTATAGTTTTAACAATGTATCAATTCATTATTAAACAATAATATAAAAACCTTTATCTACGATTCTTTTATAATTTATGTCTTCGGGTACATTCAAACTTGAGCTTTTATGAAAATAATTTATTTGCTTCAACCAAATATTTTGTTATGTTAGCTTTCTATTTTCGTAAAATGTTTATTAATTTTGAAAATTAATTTAACTATCATTCTATTAAAATATAAAGAATTTATTTTACTTAAAAAAAAATAAAATGTGAGTTTTGAGAGTAAAAAAATTGAAGAATCTCGTCTTCTTAAATAAATCTTCTTAACTCAGTTTTGCTAATAGAAATTCAAAAATTAACTTACAGGGCCAGAAAAAACTGTATAATGTTATTTTGTTGAACAGCATTTTATTATAACATACAACTAATGAAGAAAAAAAAAACGGTTTGTTTAATGATCACTGAAAATCGAACTAGAAGTCATACCAAACTCAAATTTAGGTGAAAAAATAAAAAATAAAAACTTAAATTCATTTGTAATTAATTTTTAAAATTTTAATTAATCATATTTAGTTCTCATTATTTTAATTATTTAAATTAAAATTTTCACTTTAAAATTTTGTTCAATAATTAATGAAAATATAGTATGTTATTAATTTATATAAATTCTTAATATATATATATATGCACAATATTTAGATAAAAATAATAAATAATATATATTATTAATTGTAGACCAAAATTTTAATTTAAAAAATTTCACTTAAGTAATTAAAAAATATAAAAACCAAACTAAAAAATAAAATCACGTGAATGAAAGTATAATTAAGCTAGAATTTAAAATTTCATTACCCAATTATTATTATTTTTTATTTTCACTTTAAAATTTTATATTGCCCATAACTTTCTTTCTTTCTGAAACAAAATAATGATAAAGTGCACCTAGAGAGAAAGTGTGTGATAACATAATATTTTCTCCACCTTTTATTTACTATATCGCCACGTAGACGATGACGATGGCTCTTTCCGTAATACACAAGCAAAACGGATGGCAATAACGAAACACCCTTCCTTTAAATACATTCCTTTGTTCCCTCCGATGTTACTTGGTTTAGAGTTGCAGCAGTTTCTTGGGCATCGAGGAATTGACGCTGTCTTCTTATCATCTCTTCATCGAACAACCTTCATCCTTATTAACCATGATGCAGATCAGCTCCACCATCCCAGCACACAATCTTCACATGTTCCAGACAAGACGCGCCAGCTTCAGATGTCGAGCTTCTCCGTTAAACCCTTCAACCAACCCAGTCCCCTCCTCAACCTCTTCTCAGTGTCTCAAACCCCTCACCTCCACCGACTCCACGCGCTTGCACCTCTCCAACCTTGACAAACTCCTCCAGAAGGAATCACCCCCTCAACAACCCCAACAACAACTACCCATTCCAAACGACAACCCCAAAACGACGGAGAAGAAAGCAAAAAACATTCTGGAAGGTCTCAATCTTGCGAGGCTGTGGCCGGATATGAAAGCCACGGAGGAAATGTCGCCGCGCCACCTCAACCGCCTCCAGCGGTTGCTTTCGAAGACGGCGGAGTATTCGCCGCGAAACGCTCTGGGAAGCCGGTGGAGAGAATACCACGGAATCAACGATTGGAAAGGCATGCTTGATCCTCTGGACGAGAATCTCCGGCGAGAGGTTGTTCGGTACGGCGAATTCGTCCAAGCCGCGTATCATTCCTTTCACTCTAACCCCGAAATGTCAGCGGAAGAACCCCCACTTCCACGTCACATGGTGTTACCAGATAGATCTTATAGGGTCACGAAAAGCCTCTATGCGACGTCATCAATCGGGTTACCGAAATGGGTGGACGACGTGGCTCCGGATCTCGGCTGGATGACCCAACGTTCTAGTTGGATCGGATACGTGGCCGTTTGCGATGACCGGAGGGAGATTGCGCGTTTGGGAAGGAGAGATATTGTTATCTCTCTCCGAGGAACCGCCACGTGTCTTGAATGGGCTGAGAATATGCGGGCCCAGTTAATAGACATGCCAGAAGGGACTAATGAAGAGGGCGAAGGAAAGGCCAAAGTGGAGTGCGGGTTCATGAGCCTGTACAGGACACGTGGAACTCACGTGCCGAGCATGGCTGAGTCGGTGATTGAAGAGGTGAAGCGGCTAATGGAAGTGTATAAAGGGGAAACCCTGAGCATTACGATAACCGGGCACAGCTTGGGCGCGGCACTGGCTCTGTTGGTCGCTGATGACGTCAGCAGTTGTAGCCCAGAGGTGCCCCCCGTGGCTGTTTTTTCCTTTGGTGGGCCGAGGGTTGGCAACAAGGCCTTTGGGGACAAAATTACGGCCCAAAATGTTAAAGTCCTAAGAATAGTTAATTCTCAAGATGTTATCACCAGAGTTCCGGGAATGTTTGTGAGCGAAGAGCTTGAGCGAAAGCTAAGAAACTCCAAGGTTGGGGGTGTACTTGACATGTTGGATGAGTACTCCCACACTGGAACGGAGCTCCGTTTGGATACGAAGATGTCACCGTATCTGAAGCCTGATGCGGACATGGCATGTTGTCATGACTTGGAGGCTTATCTGCACTTGGTGGATGGGTTCTTGGCTTCTAATTGCCCTTTTAGAGCCAATGCTAAGAGAAGCTTGGCTCGATTAATGCAAGATCAAAGTGCTAATGTCAAAAAATTGTATACTAGCAAGGCTAAAGCCTTGAGTGTCAACCTTGAAAGACAAGGCTCCTTTTCTCTCTCTGGTTGTTTGCCTAGTCCATCATAAACCATCAATGTGAATACAAAAAACGTTTTATACACCATGCGTTACGCATGTCTCTCTTGTTTATATTTATCGTCAATTTAACATGCTGCACTGTGCATATATTCTAAATCTAAGGGGGATGTTCATGAATATGAATTCTAAGAGTTATGACAGATAGATCTTGTAAAAGGATGATATCGAAACAGAGGTAAGTAAGTAGGGACACAGAATGTCAGTCATAATCTGAATAGTTTGAAAAGAAAAAGTGCACCAAACCCCGAAGAACAAATTTCATAATTTATCTATTGGGCGCCGAGAGCCACGAAACACCTACCGTGTTTAAACTGTTGACGACACTGGAATTCAGCGCTAAGATCATCATGATTACGAAAATGTTTCGTGTACAACACATTTTTTTAATGTCTTTTTTCCTTTTTTTTAGAATCTTTTTACGAATGAGTATATCAATATATATATTCAAAAATAAAATAAACACCATTAAATATAATATTACATTTGACATATATTAATTTTTAAATATTCAAATAACAGAATTATTACAGGTAATGACACAAACAAGTACTCGATCTAATAAATTATATTTATTTACACATTATTTTTTGAATATTTTTATTTTTATTTTTATTGACGAATAGTCTAAAGTTATTTTAAAATTTAATAATATTTTTTTTTATCAAAATACACATTAGAGATATATTAATTATGAAAATTCAGTAATAATATATTTATATAAAAATAATTTTAATTTCTTAATAGTTCTCTAAAAGAATAAGTTAACATTTTTTCTAATTATTTAATTTTCTAATATTTGATATTTCCTATTCTAGAAATTTATACTTTTATTAATAAATTGATATATTAAAATATCTGTGAAACTCAGTTATTCCTCTTTTATCTCATCAAATTTTTAAAAGATAAAAAATGAGGAAAAGAAAACATTCCGTTGTGTTAATTAAAAAAAAAAAACTGTTAGGACTTACATTTCTTTTTTTAAATTGCAAAATTTAGTCGTTTATCTATTTACATTTTGTTATAAACTATTATAAAAACATTTAACACATTTTTTTAATTGAAAATAAAATGTTTGTTTGTTCCTATTTCTTCTTTATTCTAATAAAAAATAGGAGATTAATTTGTTTTACTTTGTATTTAATATTTTTTCTAATTAATTCGATGCACGGCTAAGCTTCACACGTACTATTTTTACATCACTTTAACTCTGCTACTGGATTCATATTTTCTTTAGTTTGGGTGAAAACTAAATGCCCAGTTCTTATATTTTGTATTAGAAGACTATTTTTATTATTATTATTTTTCTTAATTTATTCAATATTCATTTAAGCTTACCAAAATTTAAGCAGACCAAAATTTGTTTTAAGTTATTTTTCTTTCATTTAAGTGGAATCAATCTAGCTTAAGCAAATAAAAATATTTAAGATATGGTACTATCTGTATAATATTAATTTAAATTATTTTCTATTAATTAAAGCAAAATCAAGCTCGTTTAAGCTATTTAAAAGTCATCTAAGTAAATAAGAATATCTAAAATATAATATTTTTTGTTTAATTTTTACTTAAAAAATTTATAATTTGGTTAAGCAAATTAGAGTTCGCTTAAATAAAAAGTATTTCATTTAAATGCGCAACAAGGTTTAAAATATAGTATTTTTTTGTCTAATTTTTACTCAACAATTTTAATATTCACTTAAGTGGAATTGTTATTGCTTAAGCAAAAGTAGCTACTACCATTCTAAATTTACTTTAACATTTGCTTAAATTGGTATAAACTTAGTAGTAGATTAATCACAATCTAATAAAGAAGTATTTAGGTTATAGACATAACAAAAAAAAATCATCAATATCTACCGTTATTACAGTATTAATCAGTTTAAAGAGTATTTTAAGTGAGATATTATTCAAGTTATGCCAACCCATTTCTTTAACTCACTCCAACCCGCTTGAGTTATCCAATTACAAGCTATGCTATAAATGCAAGTTGGCCAATAATGGACCAGGTATGATTCAAAGTTAAGAAACTATTAACTGGCTTATAGCTTAAATCCTATGTAGGTTACAAGCTATTCAATAAGCTTTGTGTTTTACGTACAAAATAAATATGGGTTATCTAAATCACCTCGTAAAGTAAATAATTCATCTTAAATAGATTAATATAAGTTTTTCTATAAAAAAATTGATACCTGATATAAAATGGTAGATGGTGTCATTTCCTTCACCACGCAAGGCAATATATACTCCTTATCAGCATTAAGCATTGCATGAAAAGCTTTTCTATGCAAGTAACATATAGCTTAGTTGTACCTTAAAATCATGATAACTTGTAAAAAATAATTGTGATTTAGACAATTTTTTTTTATAATTTTATAAAAGCTACAGGATCCAATTTCGATCCTTACTCAACTTAACTTATCTGACCATTAGAACATTATGCTAATCCAAATAAATTTCATCTTCAACAATTGAAATCTCAAAATATTCCAGAGCTTAATATTCTTATATTCGTGGGTATTGTTGCCAACACTAAGAAATAGAAATGATGGAGGGAGAAAAATCATTGCTGTTCCACTATCATATTTGTTTACTCCCCAAATTTAACTTTATTGATTACAATTAATAATTAAATGACAACATTTCAAAAGCATTGTCGATAACCCCAGGAATGATTTTCATTTTCTTCTCTCAATTTATTTGCTTATTTTTTCATCTAATCAATAAAATTATTTTATAATATAAACTTTATTTTAAAAGTATCACTGTTTTGAAATTTAATTAACTAATATTTTGTCCATTTCCTATAAAAAAATAGAGAGGATCTATTTTAAAATTAATTACATCCAATGTACCCGATATGTGATCACTCTAGCACGTGGCTTTCAACACACTGCTTTTTTTCTCTGCTACACATGCTGCACATACTTTTATTCTTTCTTTCTTTCTTTTCTCACCACAATCACAACATTTCAAAATTAAAAGAAAGGATGCTGCACGTTTTGTTTAACTATTTAAAAAACAATTATTTTATTGGGGGAAATTTTTATAATATTTTTTCTTAAAAGATAATTTCTTTCTTGAAATTATGCTTTCTTATCTCAAAATTTGTCACGACCCAAAATTTTGTGAAAAACCCAAAAGAGTGAGAGTAGAGGACAACTGCTACACAACACACGGTTTTCATGTTTTTCTTTGTTTAGGTTTAAAAAAGGATAAGTATTTAAGTAAAGCCACATCAACTATTAGATTACAAGATTAGTTAATGAAGATTGTTCTGCCTTAATCAAAAGTTCTGAGGTTAAGCTTTTAAAATATATTGGAAAGCAAACAAACTTATAGTCTAAATACTGGTGATAAAAAAAATGAAGTCACATTATTTGTAATGAAATAATGTAAAAAAAATAGGGTCACTTGGCAAGCTAAAACATGTGCGAATTAGTTTAATTACTTAGAGATTAATAATGGTTAAATTCAAATTCTGACACTCCACACAAATTTTGACCTTTTGAGTCAGCAAGAGAAAAAGAAGACAGAAAGGAAGTGGTGTGTCATCCAATAAAAAGAAAAACCAATGCCAATACGCTATCAAAACGGGACTTCGGAACTCACATAAGAACAACCACTAAAGTTCAAATTAATTGTTTGCGGGTGTTTGATTTTTTTTTTTTTGTTTAAGAGAAATGAATTTTTTTTGTTTAATTTTTAAAAATAATAATAAAATTCTTTTTATTAATCTTTCTGGAAACAATTCTCACTTAACATTTATTTATTTTAAAAATTAATTACCTTTTTCTACTAATTATTTGATAAAATTTTTGAAAAAAAAATAGTTTTTCTAAACAATTGTTCCCAAACATGTAATAAACGTGTTTTGCGTATTGTTATACTTATAGTCAACTAATCTGATCCATTCCGTATTTTATGAGTTTAAATTCAAGACATTATTATTATGGTGATTAGTTTTTACAACGTCAATTAATTAAAAAAATATAGTAAATAAATATGACTTCAAAATGATTATTATAAATATCATTATTTTTTTTCTTCTATTAGACAGGGCTTACAAAGCCCAAAAAACATAACACAACTAGACTAAAATTCTATGCCAAGAGACTTGAAGAGCATCCAATCTTAAAAAAGACTCTAGAGAAGTGGAAACTTTGTTAAAATAATAAAAAGACAACCTAATTTCATCTCCTAATTTAGCTATCCAATCAGCACATGATTAACTTCTCTAAAAATATGGTTAAATCTAATAAAACAGAAATTTCTAAGAAGGTCTCTAATTTCCTTAATAACAAAGTACAAAAGATGATCACTATTCTGAACATCAATAATTAAAAGAAGGACATCCTTACAATCACAATCAATTCAGAGAACATGAATATGATTTGAAATAGTCAGCTTAAGGCCTCAAACAAGATCCCAGAGTTTAGCCTAAAGGGGATTGCAAAAATGAAGAAACTTGTAAAACTAGTTATGAAATCGCCTTTGTGATTCTAAATAAGGCCTCTACAACTAGCTTTTCCTAAATATTGAAAGACAGAACCATCACTATTAGGTTTGAACTGCTTCTCAGGAGGGGTTGCCATCTAATTTGACCCTGAGGCTGCAGCCTACAACCATGAACAACACCAGAATTCCTACCATAAGATAGCAGATACTCAATCTCAAACACAATCTTATTCAGCAAACAATCATTGTTTAAAGGAAAATTTTGAAATATAACACAATTCCTATTCTTCCAAAGATTACAAGTAACAATAGCAAACATAGATTTCTAAAAAGGATACAAGGCAAAATTTTGAGAAGTCAAATTTAAAAGAAACCAATTAGTCAGCCCCATGCTAAAAAATGAAAACCATTTATTAAGAGGAAGGAGTTTGAGCCAAATCTGAGACGCCCACTAGCAATCCCTTAAAACATGAATCAAAAATTCTGGGGCAGCATTACATCTAGCACACAAAGGAGAGCTAATCATTTTACGATTAAATCTTTCTTCATTAGTTAAAAG